TAGAACATTGTCAGGAGCAGAAGTAAATTACGCGACAGTAGAAAAGGAAATGTTGGCCATTATTTGGGCGATTAAACATTTTAGGCACTACCTGTTTGGCACCAAGTTCAAGATAGTGACAGATCATAGGCCGTTAACCTGGCTTATGAGCATCAAGGAGCCTGATTCTAAGCTAGTAAGATGGAGACTCCAAATGTTAGAATACGACTATGAGATAGTGTATAAAAAAGGTTCCCTGAATGTAGTGGCAGACGCGTTGAGCAGAATCCAGCCGGAGATTAACGTACTTGAAAATGCCTCAGAAGTAGCTACGAACGGTGAAACGATTCACTCCGCAGGGGAAGACCTACAGCTTGGGTTTCCTATATCGGAGAAGCCATTGAATGAATTTAATATTCAGATAGTTATTGAGGAAGGTGGAAAATCAAAGATAAAGAAACAGATTCCATTTAGAAATAAGCTAAGAATAACCTGGACAGAAAATATATTTAATGAGGAAACTATTGGCCGTAGATTAAAGGAATTTTTAAAACCAAAAAGGACAGTAGCACTATTAATACCAGATAACTTAGTGATAGCAATCTAGGATGTATATTGCAAGTATTTTGCGTATAGTAAGCTATATAAAGCGATAAGATGTACAATATTATTACCAGACATTACAGAGAAAATCCAACAAGAACAAGTCATTAGGGATTATCATGAAAGGAGTAATCATAGGGGAATAGATGAAACTTTAGCACACCTAAAAAGAAGGGTGTTCTTCCCGCATATGAGACAGACTATAGCACAAACAATTAATAACTGCGACAAGATTAAATACAGCCTGACAGAAACTCCACAGAGACCCATGGAAGTAGTACATATAGATTTGTATTTTGTTAACAAGAAAAATGTATTAACCATAATAGATAAGTTTTCAAGATACGCGTGGGGAAAAACGATCCCAGCAAAAGAAAGCATAAACATAGTAAAGGCGATAAAAAACTTGATGGCTTTGTTCGGGATACCCAAAAAGATAGTATGTGATCAGGGAGTTCTCTTCAAACCTGTTTAAGGACTTTTGTAAGCAGTACGAATTAGAACTGCATACAACCTCATTCCAGCAGTCGACGAGTAATTCCACAATCGAAAGATAACACTCTACCTTGACAGAAATATACAGATTAATTAACGAGGCAAAGAAAACAAATAGAATGGAAATCAAACATGAGGAGATACTAGACGAAGCATTCATAACATACAACAACGCTATTCATTAGGCTACAAAGTTGACACCACAGGAACTATTTACGGGTAGAACGCATAATTTTCTGAATAACATATCGTTTAACAACGAACATAATTATTTACAGAAAATCAATGCATTCCAGGCGGAATTATACCCGAAAATCAAGGAAATGGTGGAACAGCAAAAAAAATTAAAGAATAGAATCAGCAAATGCAAACAGGGAAAATCCGAACCCAGTAGAACCAGGAGATATGTTACAATATTTAGGAAGGAAAACAGGAGGGACAAACTTACTCCTAGATTTTCAAAACACAAGGTGCTGGAAGACAACGGGTTAACACTAACATCTACCAAACCCCAGAAAATTCATAAAGAAAAAATTAGAAGACTAACCAAACCAAACGAACAATAATAATTACAGGTGGTCAATGACCATGGCCGCAGGAAGGAGTCTCGAGATTTGGGAGTAACAAGGAAATGAGCCGCTAGCACAAATAAATCTAGGACCTGCAAAGATAGTACAGACGCATAAGAACTTAATACATATTGTAAGGTTGCAAGAATATCAGGAAGCAATAGAGAACATAGAAAGGACACTCAGAAATGTAGCTGACGATGCAGAAACAAAAGACCTTGTGAGAGTATTACAAAGCAAATTACAGATGATTAAAACAAGATTAGAGACAATATGCCCTAAGAAAAGGAAGCCGAGGGGACTAATTAATGGGTTAGGATCAGTTGTTAAGTCCATAACAGGAAATCTCGATGCAGAAGATGCAGAAAAGTTGGAGCTAGAAATAAGGAAAATACAGAACGAAGAAGAAAGATTGCGAGAGGCCGTAACCTCGCCAGAAAAGACAGGTAACAAGTTCGGCATAATGTTTAAAAATTTGACAAAATATATTAATGAAGAACAAAGCAGGGTAGCCACGTTTATTAACAATTATAAGAATGGAATAAGCAAGACGTTTTTAGAAGAGGATAAAAGGATTTATAGGTTAGAATACATAGACAGGATTTCAGTAACAATAGATATGCTGGGACTAAACTTAAATGACGTTGCTGAAAGTTTATTGTTGGCAAAAATGGGATTGATGTCAAAATTTATATTCGACAAACACGAAGCAACCAAATGCATACAAGAGTTAGAGGAACAGGGCGTTCAAATAGCATCAGAAGAAAACATGTATGAGTTCCTAGAATTTAAAGCAATAATGAATGAAACAGATTTTATATTTGCAATAAAATTACTTGATGGCAAACGCGCCTTGGTACGTTCGAAACGACGCCCTAGCTAATGATCTCCACATTCCCTCCATTAGAGAGCAGATCAACCGACACTCGAGTCGTTACAGCGATCGCCTCATAGCGCACCCAAACCACCTAGCAGCGTCTCTACGTAATCAAGCTATCCGAAGAAGACTGAAACGGAGACGCCCCGGCGACCTCTGGACAAGAGGACGCATGGTTTCCCGAGTCCTGAAACAGTAATTGTTACTGTACATCTCCTGTTATTGTTTTCATGTTATCTGTTCTTTGTTATGCTCTACGTATTATAGCCATTAGGTTGGCTGATCGACGTAAATAAAACTTATTTTTTATTTAAAAAAAAAAAAAAAAAAAAAAAAAAAAGCAATAAAATTACCAATGTTTAAAAAATGGAACATATTCTCTACATATAATAATTGCATTACCTATGAATAGGACAGAATTTGTAATAACGCCAGAATATGTGGCAATGAATAATGAAGAAACCTACTACTATAAGAATAAATGTCATCAAGTAAGAAATGTCATATATGTAAGAACGATAAAATTGTAAACCAAGTTAATGAAAATTGTATAAGAAAACTGATCAGCGGATTGCGAGACGAGGGATGCTGGGCTCAAAACCAAGATTTTTGAACCGGAATAAGGGTATATCGCCATTTTTAACGGAGAAAATGTGAAATTGCCTACGAACTGTGGACAGGAGAGAACAATTAATGGATCAGCGCTAATCAAGTTCAACGAATGCAAGACTATGATAAACAGGCCTAACAGAGTTATGTTCTTAAAAACGTAAAAATATGTATGGATATATGGACGAAAAAATAGAGAAATATGGACGAAAAAGTTGACAAATATGGAATAAAATGGATAAATATAGGTAGTATAGACGAAAAAAGGGATAAATATAGGTATAAAAATGGATAAACGTAGACGATTATATCGATCATATTAACTTTTTATGACAATGAACAATTAGAAATCGCTACAAACAAAAGTGCGCCGTTTGTCTTAAAGATCATTGCAGAACAATATGGCATGTTGTGTCAGATTAGTAAAAACAAAACTACGGCGTTTGTCACTCAATATGTGTTTATATGATGAAAATGAACGCTCAACATCGCAAGATGTAACAGGAGCATTTGCATATGCATTCAGTTCAGCAGGTGATAAATTCAGGAATTCTGTAGAACTATCAATGAGATTTCCTGCTAACATTCGCGATATGTCCTGAAGAATAAGAACTGAAAGCATGAAATATGGAATAAAAACTGAATCTTAAAATATAAACTGCATCATAATTGTTACATTCGATGATACATATTTTGATTGATTAACGACGCAACGATGTTTTGTCTACATTATTTATTATCGAGTATAAGGCAACAATAGAAATTTCATAATATTTGAGCCAAACATATCTTTCTATAGGTTTTCAGACCCTTTTATGCTCAAAATATGGATTTATTCAAGTGATTGTGTAAAATATGGATTTATAGGAAAAAAAGGCGAAAATATGGAAATAAATATTTTTTCATTTAAAAACATAACTCTGTTAGCCCTGATGATAAATAACGTCCAGTACGAAGCAACAGAGAGGCTTGGCACAGCAAAATGGAATCTGGAGATACCACACATCGGAACTATCAACAAGAATAGAACAACACAAGAACTGGGAATTCACGAACTAAAGATGGAAGATATAGAAACGAAACTACAAATCAACAGACTACAAGTGGGAACCACTATACATACAACAGCAACATACTGTTAATCATGTTAATTGTTGGCCGTGGCCATTTTCTCAAAGAGGACGACTACCTTCACACCAACTTCACCAATTGCGACGTTAACACCAACCATTAATCCACCTGCGACCTTCACATCGACCATTACTTCACCTGCTACCTTCACACCAACCATCGCTCCGTTATGGTCGGTAGTTCAGTGTGATGGGGGAGGAGTTACCGTCTCAACAATTAGCCTCGGCGGTCCCCCACCAAAACCACCACGACTTTGATAGACGCCGCCTCAGAAAACACTTAAGCGGCCACCCGATCGTCACGCAGCCTCAGCAAACATTTAAGAGGCCACCCGATCGCCCTACTAATAACCAATGCATCGAATCCCAAACTAATCAAAACAATAGCATCCGCTCCACTTATCCACTCTACTTAACTACTCCAATTATACGACCCACTTCAGATCCATAGAGTAAGCACTTTCCGTTAGATCAGCATTTTATGTTAGAATAAGAACCAACGAGTTGACAAAAGAGAAAATACAAAATGAGTCAGAATATTGAACTCAAACAAACCGGTCGTTTTATTCAAACATTACAAGTCAAAGTGATTCCCAACCAAAAATACCAATTTCATCTACGAACATATTATAACTCGTGGAGGACAGACGGACAGATGGACAGACGGACAGACAGACAGACGTATTCCGACTCTACTCGTGATGCTGATCAAGAATATATATACTTTATGGGGTGTGAGGTGTCTCCTTCACTGCGTTGCAAACTTCTGACTGAAATTACCCTTTGCTCTGCAAGGGTATAAAAATATTGTTGATAATTCGCTATTATCTATATTTTATCAATAAGTACCTTTTTTCTGCCTCTTTTAGAGCCTCAAGCTTTTTTATGTTAGTATCGGTTAGCTTTGAAACTAAATGCTTACGAAGCTTTTTAAAATCTTTGACACAGTTTTCAGATTTCGAGCTGTTAAGTTTAGAAATGGCCAAAATTATTTGCTGCTCTAACTGAAGTCGTTGTTGATTAAAAACTTTAAATTCTCGAACATGGGCCAGTTTACTTTGAAGACTTGTATAATTTTCCATTAATGGAATTCTTAGATACTCATAATTCTCCTTAAATTCCGAGTTGTTGCTCGCAAAGCCTGTGACCTTACGAACCAACTCCTTAATTTTATTATCAGCTTTTATTGCTTGACGTATCAGTTCTGCATGGCTCTTTAGACCGCAATCGTCTAAACCTTAAACAAAGTTAAGCTTTTAAATATTTTTTTAAATTCTATATTAGATAGACCTTACCAGCTTTTAGAATAATGATAAGCCAAAAAGTCTGAAGCTTCATTTTGCTTTTACAGAATGAAGTTTAAAAACGGGGCAAAACTAATTTCACGTGGAAAAAATATTTTTTAATGCATTCGTATTACTTAAGTAGCTTTAAATGTCAGGCGAAAAATTGGAATAGATAGAGAAAGAACTTTTGATTTTATTAAGTATTATATATATAATCTTTAATATCATCACAAGCGACAGTATACTGACGGAAAAATATATGTATTAATTAAAAAAGCAATAAAATCGTAAAACGTTTAAAAAATGTTTAGTGTGCGAAGGCAAAACACTCGATTCCATAAAGTATGCGTGTTCCTGATCAGCATCACCATCTGAGATCTACAAATGTGTCTGTCCGTCTGTTGGTTTCAACCCATACCAGTCTAACTTTTAAAAGCTTTCTTAGCGAAACGTTAAACCGTAACGGACCGGATCGAACGACTATTTTATATAGCTCCAATATAATAAAACAACAATAAACAAGAAAGGAAGCTAGCTTCGGCAAGCCGAAGCTTATATACCCTTGCAGTCATCAAATATGTCGAACAAAATGCATAAAGGTTAAACAACATCGAAGCTAAGACGATTTTTCTATACATTTTCCATATTTTCGACTACAGATCATATGCGAGCTATATGATATAGTTGTCCGATTTTGATCAAATTTAATTCGTAATTCAAGAGTCGTAAGAAAACTCTATATTCCAAAAATCATACTTGTCTGATGAAAAACAACGATGTTATCATTTTATTTATAAACAAATCTATATAGTTTTTTCGATCTTTCCTTTGGCAGCTATAAGATATAGTTGTCCGATTTTTATGAAACTTTTTTCTCAATATAAGGGTTGTTAAAAAAACTTGATGTTCAAAAAATCAAGCTCGTGGGATAGAAAACAACGATGCTATCAATTTATTTCCACTAATTCTATATATATTTTTCGATCTCTCATATGGCAGCTATATGATAGAGTTATACGATTTTGTTCAAATTTAATCCGAAATTCAATAACAGTTAGAAAACGCCATCTTGAAGAATTCAAGTCGATCTGATCAAAAACAACAGAGTGAGAATTTTTTATTTCATTCTCTTGTATTGGAGCTATCCGATATAGTCGGCCGATCCGGCCCGTTCCGACTTATATACTGCGTGCAATAACTACACACCTTTTGGGAAAGTTTCATCAAGATAGCTTCAAAACTGAGAGACTAGTTTGCGCGGAAACGGACAGACGGACAGACGGACAGACGTACAGACGGATTTGGATTCTGCTCGTGATGCTGATCAAGAATATATATACTTTATGGGGTCTGAGGTGTCTCCTTCACTGCGTTGCAAACTTCTGACTGAAATTATAATACCCTTTTGCTCTGCAAGGGTATAAAAATATGGGAATGTTACAGGTTGGTTACAGGTTTTTTAAGAAATTTTAAAATTACTAATAAAATTTAATGAAACTAGGAGAATTAATTAATTTTTATTTTTAGTTTTACCAGTGCCTATTTTTCAAATTTTTTCTAAAATAATTGTTGTGTTTGCAAGGGTGTATAAGCTTCGGCTTGCCGAACCTAGCTTCCTTTCTTGTTTTTTTTTATAAATTCAAAGTGAGTTTAAACACAGTGTGCTAAGTGTGCTTCCAGTCAAATAAGTAGTAGCGATTCCCTGAGGAGGAAAGGTGTTATAATTTTAGTCAGAATTTTTGTAACAAAGTGAAAGAGCAACCTCAGCCCCCATAAAGTATCTATACTAATATTATAAAGAGGTAAAATGTGTTTGTTTGTTTGTAACGAATAGGCTCCGGAACTACTGGTCCGATTTAAAAAAATTCTTTCACCAATAGAAAGCTACATTGTCGGGGAGTAACATAGGCTATAATTTATTTTGGAAAATATTAGGAATCCGTAAGAAAATTGCAATAATGTCGGCTATAAAGTGAGTTGCTACCTCATCACACTGACAAACACTACCATAGCATTTTAACTCAATTTTTGTGGTTTTCATTTATCATTTCCAAGTGAATTAGGTTTTTTCACATATTATGCAAACTGCTCTGTTCTCTGCTCAGTTAATTTCATGTGACAAACCGATATTGTGTTCACTGTGAAATTGTGAAAAAAAATCTATACTAATATTATTGTATAAAAAGGAAAAATTTGTTTGTTTGTTTGTTTGTTTGCAACGAATAGGCTCCGGAACTACTGGTCCTATTTAAAAAATTCTTTCACCGATAGAAAGCTACATTATCGTGGAGTAAAATAGGCTATAATTTATTTTGAAAAAATTAGGGATCCGTAAGAAAATTGCAATATTGTCGCATATAAAGTGAGTTGCTACCTCATCACACTGACAAACACGCTACCACAGGATTTTAACTCAATTTTTGTGGTTTTCATTTATCATTTCCAAGTGAATTAAGTTTTTTCACATATTATGCAAACCTTAGTGTTCTCTGCTCAGTTAATTTCATGGACAAACGGGTAATGAGTTCACTGTGAAATTGTGAAAAAAAAAATTTTTATTCAATTTAAGTTGAACTGTGAAAATTATGTGGATCGTGCATTTGAGGATAAATTCACCACTCTGTCCATAGTCCAAAATGCTTAGAGGACGACGTGCAAACATTGGCCGCAGACATCCAAGCCAGCAACAAGTATATTCACAACACTTAAGCGAAGAAAGACAAATGAGCACATGGAGATCATTGGCATCATCCAATCGCTTGGCATTCCAACATGATCCCACTGCGAACTACTGCGATAATGAAAATTTAGATATTGGACCAATGGCGACTATATACCGATATTGCATGGCGTTAAAGTTTAAAAGAGAAACGGCTGGATTGTGCTGCGCAAGTGGAAAAGTCAAACTGGAAAAGTGTTAAATCACCATCTTTCTATACTTCCATATATTTGAAAAATGTTGCAACATTGACTATTGTAACGACCCGAATTGGCCGTACAATTTTTTTCTAATTCTAAGTTTCTCATAGTTCAAAACCATAAAGTTCCCTCATTTTGGTTAATAAATAAGTCTAAGCTAAGCACAACAAGTACCATCTCTAAGCAGCAAGGGGCGGAGAGAACACAACGAAGTGGAGACCCAGAGCATAGATAAAGACAGCGATGAGAGAGAGAGGCACCCGCTGAGGACCGAGACTGCGTAAGCCTCGTGAACTTGACCTACAAAAACGACAGAACAAGAGAGAGCATCCGAAATTAAGCCCACGACGCAATTTGCATAGGCCAACGCTGGCGCCGATCACCCGAGCAGAGGGCAGCAGAGCGACAGCAGAAGCCCAAAAATGCGTCTACGACACACTTACACTATGCAAGGGCAGGCCCCGCTCGAGCGAGCAGAGGGCGGCTGAGCGAGCGAGAGTCATACGCACTTGAAATGTGCAAGCGCTGCGCGCGATCGTACGGGCAGAGGACGGCGGCAGAGAAGCGACAGAAGTGCAAGAACTTTGGCTGGCAATTAGTTCGGTGTCAGAGAGGACTTCAATTATCTCCGAGGCCTAGATTCGATCAGACGTACTTTTTGGCACCCGTTCGACACGGCTCTGCGCTCCGCATCACTGGACCACGTGCCAGGCCCCGTTCCAAGTCTCGCGACGAAATGGAAAACAATCCTAACTCCGGAATCCGCGAAAGTGCACCCGCTCATCACCTACTTCTGGAATTATCTTCGAGGCCCAGTTTGGAAAGGACACACTTTTCGGCACCCGCTCGTCGCGGCTCTGCGCAACGGCACGCGATCAGAACCCACGTGGCAAGAGGCCCCGCTCCAGCAGCGAGAGGATTCAAACCACACCCCCGCCCTGGGCCTGCTATGTCTGCCTGAGTGAGTAGCGCTAAAACATAAGGAGTGCGGTATAGTCAGGGACCACTATCATGGCATAAAAATAAACACTTGTACATGAAATTGGGAAATCTCGCTTGCGGATTAAATTCCCCATGCCCAGTAGTTAGAGCCAGTAGCCATTCTCAATTTCAGGGTCCCGTCTACGTCCCCACGTGGATCCCGGTGACTGCAGCCAGGCGTACAGCCTCTGCTCCCGCGTGTGCCACTTCCTTCCCCACGTGGATCCCGGTGACGACAGCCAGGCGACCAGCCTCTGCTCTCGCTTGCGTGCCACGCCCTTCCCCACGTGGATCCCGGTGACTGCAGCCAGGCGCACTGCCTCTGCTCCCGCTTGTGTGCCACGCCCCTCTCCGCGTGCACCCCGGTGACCGCAGCCAGGCGCACTGCCTCTGCTCCCGCGTGTGCCGCTCCCGGTGATCACAGCCAGGCGCCCAGCTTCTGTGTCCAAGAGCTCATCGCCTTCAGCCGCTAGCGCGAGAAGCCTCGGCCACCACCCGCTTTCCCTGGCAGCCAGTCTACCAGTCTCAGTTGTTTTCCCATATTTTTCTCTTTGCAACCCACACTACCGTGAGCTCGACCCCTCCATCTCAGTCGGCTCACCCTCTACCAAATTTCCGACAGTCCCGCAGTCTGTAAGCGATCCTGGACAGACTGAGTCATATACCAGTCAGGAAACTACTTAACACTATTATGTTGTTAAATTGTGTTGACCAGCGAAGCGGACACAGGACCTCTAGTTTTTATATAATTTTAATAGCAGGTATTTGTCTTTAAGGTGGTAAGTTGAACTGTGTAAATTATGTGGATCGTGCATTTGAGGATAAATTCACCACTCTGTCCATAGTCCAAAATGCTTAGAGGACGACGTGCAAACATTGGCCGCCGCACAAGACATCCAAGCCAGCAACAAGTGTATTCACAAACGGCTGGATTGTGCTGCGCAAGTGAAAAAGTCAATCTGGAAAAGTGTTAAATTACCATATTTTTATACTTTCATATATTATATAATATATGAAAAATTTTGCAAAATAATAGTCAATTTTGTTAAATTCGTTGTTGATTAAAAACTTTAAATTCTCGAACATGGGCCAGTTTACTTTGCAGACTTGTATAATTTTTCATTAATGGAATCTGTTCGGAGCAGAACCCCTAACTTGTAAATTCTATTCAAAATTCAAAGTCTAACTGCTAATGTAACGTAACGTAAGCGTAAAGTTGTTTA